TCGCTTGCCTGGGACCAGTCCGGGCCAGCCATTGAACCGAGTGGCTTCCCTGGTGCCTCCAAGAGCAGAGCCAGGCCTCAAGCCCCAGTGCCACATGGAGGTAGCCACCAAGCACCTAGACAAGACGGTGCCAGCTACACCATACAATGCCACCATTTCAGGCTATGCCATGTCGGAGAGAGCCAACAGCCGGATGTTTGTGATGGATGTGATTGCCACTGCCCAGTTCAAGGCACAGGCCAAGCTGTTCCTGCAGCAGCGCTTCGAGTCAAAGACCTTCCCCACCTACAAGGAATTCAGTGCCCGCTTCCCGCTCACAGCTCGTTCTACATATTACATGTGGAAGCGCGCCCTGCATGATGGGCTGACGCTCGTGGATGCTTGAGTGCCGGTTGCCAGCTGGCTTGGCCACAGCTCCTCTGCTGATGTGCCCTTTGGCTCTCTGGTGGGGTGCCTGGGCTGGGGCCCCAATCTAACTTTTGTTCCAGTTTGGTTTTGTTTTGTTCCTAGTCTCTGGTTTTCTTTTGTGTGTGGCTCAATCAGGTATGGGAGCATCTGCACAGTGCCCGTTCCCAGAGACAGGAGGAGTGGAAGGAGAAGGCACTGAGCTGCCCCGAAGGAGAGGGGCTGGGAGGTTGTCCTTTCTGTGCTCGGAGGGTGAGCGAGGGAGCAAGTACCATGCCCGTGTCACAGGATGCTGCTGGGCCTCTTGAGATGGAGGATGTGAAGGTGTCTTTGCCCTGGACACTTGCTTGAATGGGTAATGTAGAGGTGCCCAGCATGCCTGTGGTGAGCAGAGCAGCATTGTCTCAGCTGTGGGTGAGGAGGGGCTTGGATAGTTTTGAGGAGCTCAGCTTTACAGGAGGAGCACCTTTGATCTGGGTCCTTTTCAGCTAAGGAGAATATAAGCTTCGCTTGGGGTCAGCACTGATGCCACCTTGGCTTGCTGACTCTTAATGCCTGCCTCTGGTGGAAGAGGTAGCAGAGGCTGGTGGAAGAGGAGACTTCTTCATGTCTCCACTGTCATCTGTCTGTGGAAATGCTAAGCTAGGAGCCAGTGTCCTTTGCAGGCTCCAGAGAAGCTGTCCCTGACAGCTAGTCTTGTAGCAATAACCTGTCATGCAATCCTTAACTCACACAGCTGGCAGCTGCCTTATTTTCCTGGTGTCTCTCTTCCCTGGTGTCTGGGAGAAGGCAGAGAGACCAAAACTTGTGTGCCCAGCATCCCTGCACCTCCAGCGCTGTGCTGCAAGCTGGACGCAGCATGGGTGTCTCCTTGCAGCAAGCCTAGGTGCACGTATCTCACTTGTAAGAAACCAAAGCAATAAAGAATCTTCCACTCCTAGTCTTGTGTGGACCCTTACTCTTGCTTGTGATTTCTGGGCAGGATTCTCGCATCCACATCTGCTTCTAAATCTGGCTTGTGGCCAGGGAGAGCCTGTGCATGCCTCAATCCCTGCCTGTGTGAAGGTTCTCTTCTGCTTCCTGGGACCTGGTGGGGACCACCTGCTCAGTGGTGCTCTGGAGGCCTGGCACGGGCTGAGCTCTCCCTGGAGAGAGGCTGGGACTCGCCTCCCAGACACAATGCAAGGCTAGGGGATGACACAGTGGGCACAGCTCTGTGTGACAGCAGGGAGGCGGTGGCAAGCTCTGAGATGTCAGCAGGTGGCCCTGCCCTGGTGCTGTACTGGGAGGCTGAAACCAGCTGTTTGCATTTCTGCCCTGCCAGCATCTCAGGGTGTGGGGGTTCCTGCAAGCCCAGGAGCTGCTGGGAACTTCCAAAAAGCCTTCACTTTGTAGTGTCTGAGCTTCCCTGTGCAGGAGAGCATGGCTGTGCAGGGATGGGCTCTGGGGCTGGTGCTACTGCTGAGGAGGATGGTGACAACTGCAGTACCTGCTCTGATTTCCCACTGAGCTGCTGGGAGTCAGAGTGCCCTGCAGATGTGAGAAGAGAGCTTCTTGAGCCCTGCATCTACAAGATCAGCCCCTGAGGCTGGGTCTAACAGCAGGGTTGAGTCTTGTCTTCCTTACCCTCAGGCCTTTGCAGGGGGATAGGGAACTTCAGTGACCTTGATAGGAATTGAGATGCTATAACACCCCCCTCAGCCTTGCTCGCAAATACCTTTTCTTTCTTCAAAAGGCTGGGACCTCTCAGTCCCTACTGCAGCCTGGTCCTGCTTTAGATGCAATCTGGCTTTGTTGACCACCAGTTCGTTAGGCAGAGGGTGACCTGTGCTAGAAAGCCCAGCTGAGCTTTCCTGGGCATCAGCCTGTTTGAGAAAGGAGGGCTCAGAGTCTTTCTGTGGCACCTTTGGACCTGAGCTGTGTGCTGGAGTGGTGCTGAGCCAGTGGGGTGTCTCTTCACATACCACTTAGCTCCATGTCCTTGGTGCCTGTGCATTCTCACCACCAGCCATCCACCCCAACGTACCCTGTGCAGTCCCTGAGGAGGGGATCCAGGGCAGTGGGTGCCCTGGGGAGCTGCGGAGCATCGCCGAGTGCTGCTGCAGAGAGCCCTGGGCTCTGTGTGTCAGCAAGTAATTGGAGTAATTATCTGCCAGCGACTTCTTACCAGTGAACTCCTCCAAGGGAGTAAGCTGGTAATTACTCCAGAATGATTACCTGTGTCTTTAAACTCCTGGAGGCCAGAGCTAGCTGCTTTCAGCAGCGGCTGCAAAGGTGGACGCGAGACCACTGGAGTGTGCCCTTCCTCAGCTGAGCTGAGGGAAGGAGCAGGGAGGGTTTTCTGACCATGGGTGCTAACACAGGCCCCGTTTGGGTGACCCTGAGGGTGGGGCAGAGTGTGCCCAGCAGCAGGGCAGTGGCTGGGGCATCCATCCGTGTGGCACAGCGTGGTGGGTGGCTGCCAGCTGCTGCTGGGGGCAGGTGAGCACCAGGGGAGCCTGGGGGAACCTCCGTGGTGGGAGGTACCCGTTGCTCTGCAGGGCAGGGGGATGGCTTCTCCTGCTTCCCATCACCCTCCTCTCCCCAAACTGGGAGCATTGCATGCCTCGCACTGGGGTGTGATTGCAAGATGAACCTGTCCCTGGCACAGGCCTTGGGTTTCTTCCCCCATCCTCCACCAGCCCCTTGGAAGACACTTTTGAGGAGCCCTGGTAAAGAGATCTAGGTGTGATGGCTTTTCTGCCCTTAGCTGGATGACTGGGTGGGGCATGGTTGGAAAATAATACTCATCCCTCTGGGGAGTTCTACAAGTGCCCTTTCGTGTCTCCTTCCCTGCACCTTGATGGCAGCAGAGTCATGGTGGGTCTCTGCCAGTCAGCACCACCTAAATAGCAGCTGCTTGGTATTTACTGATGTAGTTTGTGGCAGAGCAGAGTTTAAACGGGGGAAACCGTAGCACTTGATTCATACCTGTCGCGCTGCTCTCACTTTGAGCTGGTGGCAGGAAACAAATCTGAGGCAGCCTCAGCTGCTCGGCACCATGCTGCTGGGCACGAGCCCGTGCATCTCTCCCTTTGCATGTGCAGAGCAAGGTTTAGCTCAAGTGCCACCTGAGCTCCTTCGCAGGTGGGTGCTTAAAGGCACCAACCCCAGCAAAGGTGGAAATTCAAAGGTAAGTGAAATGCAGAGCCCCCACCCACCTGCAATTTAGGGCTCTGCTCCACCACTAATGTACCCGGTTCATGTCCGTGGGACGGGGTTTGCAGGTGCAGGAGGTGGGTGACAGTGCAGCAGAGCCTGCCTGGACGCTGTGCCATGGGAAGAGTTGATTATTCCCAAGCAAAGCTTTGGGGCACTTACCTGGTACATGTTAGCTCAAGCACCGCTTTGCCTCCAGATTTTGCACAGGCAGCTGGTTATTGGTGCAGAGAGTAGTAGTGTTGGTCTTAAAAGCATCTCAAGGTAGCAAAAGGGTTGAGGTTGGCAAGACAGGTCTTGTGCTTTGCTGGCATCGTCAGAGTGGAGATGTAGCAGCAACAGGAGGACAGAAAAGTCAGTGCCACCACTCAAAACTGCTCCTGAGCTGACAGGCACAAAAGCAATTCATTATCAAGAATATCCATGTGGGGAGGGAAGGAGAGAAGAGAAGGAGAAAAAGGAAAAAAGTAATTCCCTCCATAGGTCCAGGCTACAAGCGACTAGCGCTGCTGAGCCAACCCAGTTGTTGAGAGGAGAGTCCTTTTCCTTCTGTGCCCCCAGGGTTTTTGTGGGGAACCATCTGCCTCCGTCCCAGCAGGTTACACTAGCCATGGCCAGGTCCCTGTTCTCATTTTCCTGCCCCCCGCTTTTGCCTCCTTCCCATTAAACCCCATATCGTGCGCACCATGGCTGAGAATGTCTCCTGGAGTCCAGCTGTGGCCCACCACTGCCCTGGTGTTGTCCTGCATGGATCTGCTGACCAATTTGCCCTGTAGATCTTCACATCAGATCCACCTTTTTCACGTTGCAGCGATGGCTCAGGCCTTTCCCTGGTCCCTGCTGGCTGAGGAGCTCCCTGCCTGCAGCAGCAATTCCTGCTGGCAACCCCTCATCGCTTCTCCTTGAACTTCATCCAGTTTTCCACCTCTCCTGCCTTCAAGACAGCCCAGTTTCTTTACTCTTCCTCTGTGTTTCCAAACCCTCCTGATTTTGTCTCATTAGCCAATGGCACCACGGCACCCCTCCTATCTATGCTGACTTGCTAGGGAAGATATGGATGGCCAGTCCTCATATGGATCCCCAAGTATTTTGTCCTCCAGCCCAACAGATAGATCTTCTAAAATATTAATAACCCATTAATACCTGTCTTAGCTTTCTTGAACCAGCCCCCACCTGGCAACTGTTGGTGTGGCACCATGCCAGCAGTCTGGCCAAGGTCTGGATGCTGCGTTCTGTGTCTTTCCTCTTCTAGAAAACAAGGGAGCTGACGTGTAATGCTAATTTAGCACAGTCAACATCTGCAAAACGCTGGAGTTTCAGAGAAAATACTCAGATATGACAGCACTTCAGGAAGGAAAAACTTCCATCTTTCTAGCCTAATACTGTCAAGAGTTTACTGCCTGCGTCTCGATTTTGATATATTACTTTGAGGAAGGTGTTTTGGCAGATACTGCATTTATTTGCATTTCATTTCTCCTTCCCTGGCTTCTTCCTTTGCCCCTCTCCTCATCTGTCCTCCATTGCTTCAGTAGCCACAGCACTGGGGGAAGGTAGGAGAGCTGCAGCGGGATGGACACCTCCTGCCAAACTCAGATGCTTGAAAATAAAGTTCTGTCTTACTAGAGCTTCTGCAACCAGGTGAGTGTGGGCCGGGGGCAGGCAGGGAGCCTGCCTGTGCGGCGGGAGGGAACCCTTGCCCATGGGGCTGTCCCTCAGCTCCCCATGGCAGGAGAAGGCAGCATTCCAACTGCACTCCGGCTTCCGCGAGACACTGGGTTTGGT